GTGTCTTTTTAAAAATTATATTCTTACTATATTAAAAATTCAAAGAAGGATCTTTCAACTCTCTTTTATGGGATAAAACTAGAAACATGAAGAACTAATGATTTATTAACTTTTTGTAAGTATTTGCTTTCATTGCCATCTTTCTGGTTAATTTTACTTTGCCGAAAATTGTTTGATGTTTTCTCCCATTTACTTAAACCCAATTAATTACATGTAAGTTTTTCTAGGTCTTATTTAATTTCATTGCAGTAAGTTCAAAATCTATATGAAGATAGGCTTTTCAGATTTTACCTTATTTCAACTTGTTTTACCTCTCTGGTTTCCCACTAAAATGAGAAACTACTCATATAGAGGAGCAGAATCTAATGAATTTGTAATGTTAGAGTAATTATTTGGTTTCATCTTTTAGTCATCTTTGCCTAAATCTGAGTCAAATGTTCTTATGATGATGCTTTGGTTTTATAAAAAGTCAGAGTCCAGAAAATTAGAAATGTGTTAAGACTGGTGATTTCAGGTATTTAGTATCCTGAAATAGTTTTTGTAGTACATCTAGATAACATAGACAGGAGTATGAAAAGGTAATTGTCCTGATATACATGCATGTGATTGTGTCTACTTTTTCTAAACAATTAGGCAACAGTTTTCACTGTTGTGTTACTTAATGAAATTATTGATTCTGTCTTTAATAAAGACAAACCTTCTACCCTGAATTTTAGATGCAGATGCAGGTTAGCCTTTGTTCTCTTCAGATTCACTACCAAGAATGGTAGATGAAGTGATTATCAAAGGAAATTTAGAAAAAGACTATTGCTGTGGACAAACTAAGGAGAATAATAAAGCTTTTCATAAAAACCATTTACAGAGGCAGTTTTGCAAGTGAGTACCACCCACATCATTTTTCTATTTTCCAAGGCACATGGCAAGAAACTAAATAAAATCTTCATTCCTTACCATTTACCTAGGAAAATTAAATATACTGAGCAAGTACTTATTTGTAAAAGTAGTATGTCATTACTGTTAACAAGGAAATATTTTCAGTTCACCTTTATGATTGTATTTACTGTCGCGAAAAGGTATGTTTCTGTTTTTTATTTGAACTACCATTTTGATTGATAGAGTCTCACAGGCTTTTGAGTATAACCCCATTATATTATGACCTAGGAGTACCTTTATTTAAGGCCATTGAAGAGTAAAAACAGTTAACTTGGGCAAATTGTTCCTATTACAGGAAGTAATATGGTAAAATAAATGTCATTTTGAGAAATATTTAGGGACAAAACTCCCAGTCTTAGGCAGACTTAGGTGTACTCTCACAAGTGACATAGGCAGTAAAAATGTTAAATGGGAGTGTTCAGATATAGGACTGTAGAAGAGTGCCCAGATATAGAACAATGGTATCATGTTGACTGCACTACATAATTTGGATTGCATACCCAGAATCTTCAGTTTAAACCAACTTATCAATTATGATTTTATAGCATGCAAGTGAGTAGTACCACCATTTAGTGGCTTTATGAGCCAGTTTCCTAGATTTGCCCTTATTTCACCTTTTACGTATATTAATGAAGCATCTGTAGGTTCTTAGAGGTTAATCTTCAGCTTATCAAATAAGATTGCCCCCCATTCCTTTAATTATAATAAGTGAAAAACAGAAGTCTAAGCTAAACTTGTAGGGAACTATACAAAAACTTATTTCTACTCATCTCAAAATAGGAGGGTGTTCAAAGGAAGAGTCCTAGGTTGGCTAGCAAATGCACATAGATCACTTACACCTAGCTCAGAAGGCAAGGAAGTATATTATACAGAAGGAGGTAATTCTTTTTAAGAAAAATGTCATTTATACTCCCACTTCTAAAATCATACCTACTCTGCCTGAGTAATCTGATATATTTTTCCATTTTTATTCATGGATACATTCTGTGGCAATTCCAGATAACTTGTTTTAGGCTATTTTACTTTGTTTTAGAACAAGAAAGTTAGAATTGCAGAGTATTAAGAAACATAAACATAGATTCTCAAGACATCAAGACTATCTCTCTAACCTTTCTTGTTTGATAGTAGTGTAATGTGTCTTTGGCCACTCATTAACCCAGGGATTTGTCGTCTCAACTATAAATATGAAGATCCAAAGTTCTCAGTTTTGTTCTGTCCTAGCAGATCCGAGAAAGAAAGGCATTTCCGTTAATGGCAGTAGCTGAGAATAAAAATCTTGAGAAGGGTGTGTTAGTATAGTTCTAGGAAGAAAAATAGAGGATGCTCATGGCCCTTCCAACTTTTCCTTTAGAATCACTAGAGTAGATCTAGATGATGACAGAAGTTCTGGTTCTAAAATTCTATGTTTTTTTCTCTGCTCTTCTTTCCATATTATTATACACCTGCTTCTCTATAATGATGGGCCCAAATTTTCTCCTACATGAGAGAGAGGGATTAGGGAGAGGGGGAGAGGAAAAAGATCTAATATATTAACTTACTATGGAACTGTTATTCCTACTTTGTCTTATGTGCAAGAACAACCTATATTCTTTTTTTACTCTTTACTTCTTTATTGAGGTATAACTGACATACAAACATAATAGTTTCAGATGTACGACATAATGATTCGATATTTTCGTGTATTGTAAAATGATCACCACAATAAGTCTAATTAACATGTGTCACCATATGTAGTTCTAGAATATATTTTCTCATGATGAGATAAATCCCGTTTTATCATGGTGTTTGATTCTTAAAATGTATTGTTGAATTTGGTTTGCTAATATTTTGTTGAAGAGTATTGCATCTGTGTTCATGATGGCTATTGGCCTGTGATTTTCTTTTCTTGTGGTGTCCTCGTGGTATCAGGGTAGTGCTGACCTTGGAAAATGAGTTTGAAAGTAGTCCCTCCACTTCTCTTTTTTGGAAGAGTTTGAGAAGGATTGTTATTTTTCTTTGAATGTTTAGTAGAATTCACTAGTGAACCATATTATTTATTTAGATAGGAAATAAGACGAGTTTAAAGTAAAACTGGAAGTTCACTTGCTGTTATGTTGGGGAAAATATGGTAGAATAGAAAAATTTGGAATTTCTCTTTTTCAAAACCAAATTAAGTATGAAAGCCTTCTAAAAATATATTTTAAAATGTACACATAGCATTTAACACTTTACTTATTGGAATCAGGTTTCTACTTTATTTTCTTCTTGATTAGAGTATACATACTACATACTCTAATATGTAGTACATATTAGTTCATACATCAGAAACCAGAATTTGTTAAGTATTCTGATTATTTCTGTCTGGGATGCTTACATTTAATTAAATTATATATAACAAAAAACACCATTGAAAATATTATTTGAATTTTTTCTAAAACAGTAATTCTTAATCTTTTTTGTATCTTGGACCTTTTTGGCATCCTGAAGCCTACAAATTCCTTTTCAGAATAATGTTCTTAAATGCTGCAATAGTACACACACACAAATATATACATATTTTTATATAAATAAATTTTTATATATAGGATTAAAAAGAACCCTATTATATTAAAGTACAATTATCAAAATGTTAAACCTCTATTCTAATAAGTGTTTATCAATGCTTTGAATAAGACCTATCTACCATTCTAATAATTACCACAATTTCAAAGTAGTATTGAACCCAAAAGATATTGAGATATATGCAGCAACTATAATGTGATAGGAAAATATCTGATATTTATTGTTGACAAAATCACAGGTACTTTTATGTGGTTTGTTGCCTACATTATAGAGATTAGTGAAAATAAAGTTGTAACTTTTTCCCCCAGTGTTCACAGACACCCTCCCCCCACTTCCCACCCCCCCGGTCTAAATTTTTTATTCCTCAGATACATTCCGGGAAGCCAGATAGAATCCTCTGTATCTAAAGAGACTTAATCTTTGAGGAAAATGGAGCTGAGTTTTTCCATATTTAGCCCTTAATGCTTTATAAGCCTTTAAGCAAAGTAGTTGGTGATTGTCAATACATCTTGCATTAAGAATTTTGCTTATTGCCACTACTTTTATAGTAGATTACTGAAGAAATAAATTTTTGTAAAATCCAGTGTAGTCATTTTATTTTAAAGTCAAAACAGAACATATCTGCTAATGAGTTCTTTACTTATGTTGACTTTGAGCTAATGTGGTCATATGTTATGTTACTTTGTCATTAAAGAGAAAATGTAATTCATGTTATAGGCCTGAATCATCCTACTTTATGGAGCTAGTATTGTTTGGTCAAATTTGTGTGATTATTGTTTTATAAAACACAAAATCTAACGTTTTAATCATTTTTAAGTGCACAGTTCATTGGCATTAATTGCATTCACAATGCTGTGCAACCATTACCATATCTGTTTCCAAATTTTCTCATCACTCTAAATAGAAATTCTGTACTCATTAAGCAATAGCATTCCATTCCCACTCCGCCCAGCCCTGATAACCTCTAATCTACTTTCTGTCTTTATAAATTTGTTTTTTCCAGATAAGTCATATAAATGAAATCATAAAATATTTGTCCTTCTGCATAGGCTTATTTCCCTTAGCATAATATTTTCAAAGTTCATCCATGTTGTAGCATGTATCAGAATTTCATTCTTTTTAACAGCTGAAAATATTCCATTATAAGTATATATCACATTTTGTTTTATCTATTCATCTTTTGAAGAACATTTGGATTGTTTCTACTTTTTGAGTATTTGAATAATGCCGTTATAAATATTGTCATACAAGTAATCTGTTTTCATTTCTTTTGGATATACATATACCTAGGAGTGGAATTGCGGGGTCACGTGTTAATTCTGTTGTTTAACTTTTCAAGGAAGCAATGTCATTATTATCTATAATAGTTCCTTATATTTTTATTATCCTTTTATTTAATGTGTCTTGAGCCCTTAAAACTTTTTTTTTGTTTAGTTCCTTGGTTGACTTTTATTGCTGATTTTTAAGAAATTATTTGTTTTGAACATTCATTTTTTTCCTTTTCTTTTCAATTGTTTGTTTTTCAGACCCAAGTCAGAACTCCATCACAGGGGAACACAGCCAGCTGTTAGGTATAGTATTACTGTGGGGGTTGACTCTTTCTAAAGTCACTCTTTTCTTGCTTATACTAACAGACGTTACTTACTTTTTTAATTCGATTTTCTTTCCCCTCTTTTTTTACTTCTTACTCCTCGACTTTTTTTCCTATTTCTATTCCCAGCTTGATAAGTTTTTAGGAAACTACTTCTGCAATTGATTGCTACGACTCAATTTAGTTATAGTAAAAATAATTTTAGTACTAATACCAAATTATTATGTTGTACATATGAAACTAACATAATGTTGTGTCATTTATACCTCAAAAAAAGGTAATTTTTCATGTTCTGTGGTTTAAAAAAATCTAAGAATTGGAGCTTTTTTTCTATAATTCTGAAAAGAAGATATAATACTCAATAATATCTTAGGCTTTGCAGCTACTTTGCCCTTTTTATTATTTTTCTTGGTCTTTTGATCAACTTCATTTTAATTACTGAAAGTACTTCATAAACAGCATGGCTTTAAGCAGGCCATAGTAATTGATGTTCTAATTCCTTATCTGTGAAATAAGTTATGGAAATGAATTGATTTCTTCTAGGTATCACTTATTTAAATTGCAGTTAGCTTATAATTTGGCAGGAATTTCATAACATCTCTAAACTGATAAATTTTTAGAATATAAAAATAAAAACATACTCAGGTGAGGAATTCAGACAATACAAAAAGTATATACTATAAAGAAAGTGAAAGTTATCCAGAGTACCTTCGCCCTGCCACCTCACCTCTAGTACCCCAAGGTACTTGCTGTTGACCCTTCCTTGGGAATTATAGCAATTTTTAATTATACATTTTTATATTATATATAACTATGTTTTTTTCCTTTTTTTGTCAATGCAATTATGTTATACAGACATATGTTCTGTGAATTTTTTTCACTTAACATTTTATCTTAGACATATCAGTCCATAAAGATCTGCCTCATTTCTTTGTGGTAAAATAATATTCCATTGTATTCCTATGCTATAATTTTACTCAGCCAGTTCTCTGTTCTTGAGCATTTAAGTTATTTTCCAGTGTTTTACTGTTACAAATCATATTGCAGTAAACATCTTGTACATATATACTTGAATTCTCATTGTCGGTATATTTGTAGAATAAATTCCTAGTAGATGAATTTCTTGGTCAAAAGGTATCTATATTTTCAAAAATACACATCAATTTAAAGCCCCACCAGTAAGGAGTTTGGAGTCATACTCAGCTCCCTGTCATCAAAAGTAGGTATTATCAGTCATAAAGTTTTTGCTTTACCTAATCAGTGAAAATGGCATCTCTAGTTTGTATTCGTACTTCTTTAATTATGAGAGAAGTTAAGTACTTTTAAATACATTAAGAGTCATTTTGTGTGTATATATCTTTTGGTTTGAGGCTTATTTGTACATTGCTGAATTTTTAGATGCAGAGCAGGGGTGGAAAATATAAGCTATCAAAATGTACTAAGTAGGGAAAATACTTGTTTCCTTATTAAAGATTCAGAGTATTAGTTAAAGAAACTGGGATACTCCTTTTCTGCTCTTTCAAGGTTAAGTTTCTGGTCGTCTTATTCCTTTGAGTGAGTTTATGTTCTGGAATAGCAACTGACACCGTAGGCACTAAATAGATATTAATTAAGTAAATGGTTAGATGTAAACATATAGCTAGAAATCTGATCACCAGGGTTCTAGCCTCATGGTATTGGGGCTGTTACCATTCTCTTTTTTATACTTTTATATTGGATAGTTTATTTAACTATTCAAAATTAGTCTTTTCTATAGAAAAATTTCATATTTGGATCAGGAATGGTTAAGATTTCATTGAAATATTTTGCCATATTATGAAAAGAGTATTTTTCCTTCTAAACTATTAAATTGCTTCTCTCTCTGATACATGCCTGATAGGAAGAGAAGCTTGAGAGTATTCCATCGTCTGGCCAGGAACATGTGTGTAATGGAAATAAAGAAGGATTTACCTAATGAAATGTACATTTGGGGGAGTTGGTACTGTTCCAGTGTTACTAAGCTGGATTTTTTTTCCCCAGTTAAATACTTACAGTAAAAGATAGCCGACAAATTGTAGGCAAAAAGATGTATTATGTGATTGTGAAGGAAAGGTTTTCTTAGTATTAGTTAAAAACCCTAATAGTATTTGCAAAGAGACTACTTCAGACATTAATCTCATTTGGCAACCTACAATTGCATTTAATTTTAAACAAACCTGGGAATTTATCCAGAGTCATCTGGCCAGATTCTCCAGTAAGTTCATTTGCTATCCTGGGCTCTCTTTCTCTCAGGTTCATTAGGTCAGATTATATTCTCCTTTTTTTTTTTTCCATGCTTTTAATAACTACTGTCTTTTGTCTTCCACATTAATTATCTTTGTTTAACAGCCTCAAAATCCTTAAAAGACTGGTTTATTTTAAAAATTGTGTTTGCAAAAGAGTAAAAGATGACATTTTGTTATATTTTCTAATTATCTTATAGTTCCTAAGAAAAAGCATTGATAGCTTGAATTAAAATCTTGCCAGCTCACTGCAAAAAAAAAAACTTATTTAAGATAATTTGGCTTAGTAGGTGAAAAACTGGTTCAGTTGCCTTGCCCGCTGAATAGAATTTATAATAGCATTTTCCAGACCTTCTAAATATGTTTCCTTTCAACAGGGTGCAGCTATTTTAATGTACCTACTGCTCCCACTGACTCATCAGATCTCTTGCAAAACTCAGGGTCAGGCTGAGGAGATGTATGAAAGGCTGAAACTGCTCTTGTGATAAAGAAGCTATGTGCTTAAGATGTATGAGCTTTCTCTCTCTCTCTTTCTCTCTCTCTCTCTCTCTCTCTCTCTAGTGTTCGTTCTCAGAGAGGCACTGAGAAGAAGAATGGTCACTTTCCCTTCTCCCAGAGATAATGGAAGAGAAGTAAGAAAGTACCTGTGTTTGAAGGCAAAATGACGACAATTAATCTCTAAGCACAAGGCCTCACCATTAAATTCTTTGGAGAAACAACTCTAGGAGTTTAACGACAATCAAGAGAATGAAATTGAATTAAGAGAAATAGTAATTAAATCAGGGGAAAAGTTTTTGCAAAGGGGATAGTAAAGGAAATTAAAACCAGTAATGCTGAAAAATGTGGTGGGCAGAGCTGGGGGAGGAGAGGGCTGGTGGAGAGGGGGAAAGAGCAGACAGAGCGAAACAGTGTGGGAGATGCAGAGTATGTGGCACTAAGGAAAGCAATTTGGAAATTTCTCTCTCTCTCTCTCTCTCTCTCTCTTTGTGTGTGTGTGTGTTTGTGTGTGTGTGTGTGTGTGTGTGTGTGTGTGTGTGTGTGTAATTTTCAATTTAAAAAATTTTAGGAAATAAGTAAGGAAATGAGCAGTGGGCCTTGGCATTTTTACAAGTTTTACCAAAATAATTAAACTCTTCTACAGTTTTCTCAAGGAATAGAAAAACAAGTAAACATTCCCCAACATTCCTCACTTTGAGGCTTGCATAACTTTGATACCAAAACTAAATAATGTCAATAAGAAAAATATAGGTCCATTTTCTTTGTGAGCACAGATATATATGCCCTAAACAAAATATTTATAATCTAAATCAAGCAATATATTTTAAAAATTGCCCCATGACCAATTTGGGTTTCTGCTAGAAAGACATGATTGATTTACCATTAAAAATCAATTTATATAATTCAGTATATTACCAGATTAAAGGAGAAACACCATATAATCATCTTAGTAGATGTAGAAAAAAAAATCTGATTTGAAACATATCCAGTATTTAAATTCATGAGTTCATAATGATACTTAAAAAAACCAATTGGTTACCAGTGGAGTATTTTAGTAACCCAATTCATTATTCTGATAAGTCAACAGAAAGAAAGAATGAAGTATTTATTTTGCCTTTAACTATACAAATGGATAACCAAATAGGATATTGGAAGGAATGTCTCTATACAAGTATTTCAGCTAATAAATGAAAGAATAATAATAGAATCAGAATATCACTATTTTTAAACCCTCATAAATTAGTGGATCTAGGCATTAATCATCACAGTTGCTCGTATCTCAAAAAGAAAGACAACCAGATTACATGTACTTCATGATAGAAGATCAAAATACCTTTACAAAGGAGTTTTCCTCCTTTTCTCACCTAAAAGTACTAAATGTAGTTAAGTAGCTAGACTCAACTACCAGTTGATAAAATATACCAAAAAAAAAAAAATGTTAAACATCACATGGATGCCATCATCAAAATTCAAACCATCAGAAACTACTGAAGAAATGACAGTTTCTTCAACAAATAAATTACAAAGAGAAAGAGAGAGAAAGCAAAAGACTTAAGAGATACGGCAACCAATCATAATGTGTGCCTCTGGTTTGGCTACTGATTAAAACAAAAACTCTAAAATCAAAAACATAATTTGTAACTTTTGAGACACCCTTTCATGTTCACATAGTCACATAATTCAAACTCAAACCTGTGCCAAGGGAAATCAAGTACATTTACTGCTCCTGCTTAACTCACATGAGCAAACAGTGATTTAAAAAGATCAGAAGGCTAAGGGAAGAATCTGAGACTTACTGCAAGCACAAACTGTAGTGTAAGTGGTAATTGACAGAAGCAACGTTAAAGAAGTAACAGCACCACAACAATAATGTTTTTATAAAGAGCAAAACATTTTGGTATACCATGTTTCTGTTTACAAAAAATGTATACCATAAAAAATAGAAATCAAATCTTCAGTAGAACCAATGGCACTCCTATCAGTTTTCATTTGAATTCTACAGTGAAACACCAGTAAGTTTCACAGTAATACCAGCATTATTTGGATAGTAAAATGAGAAAAAAAGAAACATAATAGTGATCTGATGGGCTGTTTAATTGAAAGCATTACTGAGGCCAGTCTCAGTAGGTATTCTCCAAAAGAATCTTCTTTGGGTCCTGAACCAGTCCTAACATATGGATTCTGTTCTTAGTTCCTGCAGAGTAAGGCTGTTTGCTATTCAGAAATTCTAGAACTCCCATTCTGTTTGGGCTTTCCTGGGGTCACAGTAGTGACCCAGACATCTGAAGGCTGTACGTCTGAAGCAGCATGATTTCCCACCAAGATATCAGACTGAGAATTCAGCCATGTCTTCCAGTATAACCACGCCTGGTTTTATGTCTAATTGATCCATGCCTATCAATTAACCACTCCTAATGAGAGTTTTGTTCTTTGCCTGAATGACCAAGAGCTATAGGGGACCCTCCCTTCCACAACACCACTACAACTAGACCTTGGGTAGGACAATCTTGGATGCATCACCAGCCTCGCAAATGTAGACAGTCTCCAGGAACATTCTTCTACCTTTAAAAAAAAATTAAGCAAGTAAATAGGAGTTGGGCCAGAAACAGCCAGGACCAGAATGTCTGAAAGTTAAGGTGGTTGCACTTGAAACTTGAGACTAGAAGGACCCCAAATGTAGATGTATCAGGACTGGAGCCAGAGATGCTAGGAGATGGCTTGGACCAGCAGGATGGGGCAGGAATATTCTGAGGCCAGATTTTTATAGCAACAATTTTGTAAGGCTGTTGAGCAGCAGGGAAAGGACATTTAATCAAAAGACACCTAGTGTTAGTTATCATTATGTTTTTCCTTCTATTGTCTTAGGATTTATTTTGCTGTCTTTCTAGCTTCCTGAAATAGATACTTAGCTCATGTAATTTTCATTCTTTTTACTACACTAATTTAAAATTTTAAGGCAATATCCTTTGAAGTGCTACTTTTGTGGATCCTGTAAGTTTCAATAAATGGTGTTTTCATTGTCATTCAAATTTTTAAAGTATTTTAATCTTTGATTTTTGAATTGTTGAGCAGTGTTTTTTTTTTTTCAATTTCTAAATTTGAGGATTTTAAACTTTATCTTTTTATAATTAAATTCTTAATTGTTTTTATAGGTCAAGATCATGGGTCATGTTATACTTCTTTGAAATTTGTTCAATCTGAGGTCTAGTACATAACTTTTTATAAATTTTCCACGTATGTTTGATTAAAATGTATATTCTCCAATTTTGGATGTAGAACTCTATGTTCATTGAGTGAAAGTTATTCATTGTATTATTCAAATTTTTTTATCCTCGCTTATTTTGTCTGATTTATCTATCAATTATTAGGAGAAATATGTTGAAAATCTCCATGTGCGATGGTCAGTTTATCAGTTTCTCAATAGAGTTCTATCCATTTTTGCCTCAAATATTTTAAGATATGGATGGATGTTGTAAGCAGCCTCTTCAGTTGGCTCCCAGTGCTCCTTTCTTTCTGGTGTTCATTCTCTCATGTGATCCTTTCCACTTTGAGTGAGTGCCGGACTTAATGTCTCCCTCTAATTAATAGAATATGGCAAAAATGATGTCACTTTCAAAAGAAGATTATAAAAAGACTGTGACATCTGTCTTGCACTCTCTCCCTGGCTCTCTCTGATGGCTTGCTTTGAGGGAATCTAGCTGCCATGCTGTCAGCTGTCCTATGGAAAGGCCCACATGGCAAGGAACCAAAAGAGGCTTTTGGCCAACAGCCTGAAAAGGAATGGATCCTGCCAACAATGATGTGAGTGACCTTGGAAGTGGATCTTTCCAGGCAGACGCTTGATTGGTGCCTCATGGGAGACTGTGAAGTAGAGGGCCCAGCTAAGCCATGCCCATATTCCTAACCCACACAGACTATGATATAATAAGTGTGTGTGGTTGAAACCACTAAATTTGGGAGTAATTTGTTATATGGAAAGAGATAACTAGAAACAATAGATGTATGTTTAAAACTGTTATAGTTTTTGGTGAATTAAACCTTTGGTTATGTGATTATCGTCTTGTCCCTAATAAAGTTTTTCTCTTAAAGAAAAGTCTATCTGATAGTAATGAAACTATATGAGCTTTCTTTTGGTTAGTACTTGCCTGATATATCACTTTACTTTCAGCCTTTGTATTATGTCTCTTGTAAACAGTATGTGCCTGGATTTTGTCGTTTGATCCAGTCTGTCGATCTTTATGTTTTAACTAGTGAATTTAGTTTATTTGCATTATAATTATTAATATTATTGATATATTTAAACCATTCTGTCATCCTAAATTATGTTTTTCTCACTTTTTCTGCTTTTTAAATCCTTTCTTACTTTAAAAAAAACCTGTCCCACAAATAAAGGAAATAACATTAGCTCAATGTCACTCCTTCTCCCTGGCCACAACCTCCATCCATTATGTTATTATTATCTAGAATAGTTCAATGGGAAAAGGAGAGATTATTCAGTAAATATATTTAGAACTGTCTTTTTGCTAGCTACATGGTCTGGTTTCTTCCTGTCTTTCTAACTGTTCTGTCCTTTCCTCACTCTACTTCAGCCTTGTTATCTATTCTGTTTTATAAATCCATTCAGGTTATTTCTGCTTTAGGATCTTTTAAAATTGGTAATCCCTCTGCCTGAAATGCAGCCTTTTCCTGACCACCTTATGCCAAGCATATGCTACAGCCAGCTCATACCAGCTCATGAGAGCCAATTGTATGCATCTTCTCCCAAAACCATGTTCATTGACTTCATATTAGTCATCTGAAATTAGCATGTGTGAGTATTTACACTACAGAAATTGGCAAATACTAAAAATCAGTATTTTTTGTTTTTAAATTCTGGAGAGTCTGCTTACCAGCACACCAGTGTTTTTACTTGAAGTCCTTCCCCTCCCCAGTCATAATCTATCTCAGTACCTATTTCATTGTACTTATTGCTTCTTGAAATCTTTTTTTGTTTTTTGGTTTTTGTTTACTTATATTGTCTTCTTTACTTCAGTATACTAACAGTGAAAACAGCATCTGTAACTGCCTGTCTACTGCTGTATCTCCGGGGCTTAGAATAGTGCCCAGCACATCATAAGAACTTAATTAATACTTGTCGAATTAATTGAATAAATGAATAACTCAAAAGTGATCATTTTAAGCTGTGTCATTATTCTCTTTAGAATTTTCTGGAACCATTAAAGAGAGGGAAAGACTTAATACTTTTCTTTGTTTTTATAACTTTTATTATGGAAATTTCCAAAGGTACAGAAAAGTAGATAGGATATCATAATAATGAACCTTTATAAATCCATTACTCAGTTCTAATAATGTTTTCAACCCCCACCTAACATTTTCCTAGAATATTTTAAAGAAAATGCCAGACATCAGATGATTGTAGTTACCCTTTAAAAAAATTAATAACCAGTTCATATTTAAATTTTTGATTGTTTAACATTGTTTTTTACATTTGATTTGTTTGAGTTAGAATTCTAACAAGTTTCACACCTTGCAATTGGTCAGGTGTTTATCTTGTCACTTTTAATTTGTAAGAATTCACCTTTTTTTAGTTCATGCTATTTGTTGAAGAAATTAGATTCTTTGTCATGTAGAATTTGCTTCATTCTGAATTTCATGATTGCATCTTTGTGGTGATGTTTAAGAGGTTCCTCTGTTTTCTGTGAACAGGCAGTTAGATTATAAAAAATTAGATTTAACTTTTTTTTTTTTTTTTTTTTTTTTGGGAAGGAATCATTACAGGTCGCA